ATTTAAATAGTAACAAAAATGGTATCGAAGTAAAGGAGACTAAGTTGAGCAGCTCTACTGGAGCAAGAAGGGAGCCTGAGGTGAACAAAGCACACAGCACTCATGTGCTTGCAAGCATGACTCCATGCCTATACATTATTATTACAGGTGAATTTTGAGTTAACTGAAACTAACGGTCCATTACGTCCCCTTGGGTTACAGGAGCAGCATCGTAAGGCCAGATCCCCAACTGATTTAAATGTGCACCATTCCACCAAAGTCAATTGATACCTGCTGAGAAGATAGCCTTGAAGTTTTATCCATGCAGTTCGCAAGCTCTGCAGGGTGAACTCTCCCAGTTTTCTGCACCCATGGGCTATGTCTACACTGCAGCACTATTTTGGGATACCAGAGGTATCCCAAAATAGCTATTCCACGTCTTTTGAGCACACCCGTTATTTCAAAATATAGCAGGCTCGCTATTCTGACATCTTTGTAAATCTCATTCCACAAGGAGTAAGGGACGTTGCAGACTAGCAATTTATTTTAAAATAAGTGCTGTGTAGATAGTGACAAATTTCGAAATAAGCTCTCTCGAAATTGACTCAAAATAAGCTACACAATTTGCGTAGCTCAAATTGCATAACTTATTTCGAGCTCCAGGTGCCATGTAGAAGCACGCCTGGTGAGCTCCAGCTTCAGGATATCTCCTTGATACCTTAATACAGTTGCGGTTTACATGCATTGCTTTTTATAGCACTAGCAAGGGATCATGTGCAAACAGGGTTGGAATAAATACATGAGACACTTACCTATTTCTCTGGGTCTCAGCAGTGCACCAGTCTGTTCTCTGGTCAACATCAAGTTAATGAGCATATCCATCAGGGTGCTGATCGCGTGGATTTTACTGTTACCCAGCACAATTTGTCGAAGGGATTGGCCTCCATGTTTGGTTCTAGTAAGAGGGATTGACAGTTGAGTCTGCTTCGCACCAGAATGTTATTAAATGTCTGTAGTTTAAGTTACAACAGTGGGGAAAAAAAATGATGCAGAATTTGTGATCGGCCATGACTTGTGTTACTTCGCTTTAAACAAAGCTCATTGCAGTGCACCTGAAAAGGTTTCCTGCGGGGCAGAGGAATGAACACAACGACATCTCTTCTTATCAAAGAGCTTAACTTTCATACAATTAAAATGTGAACAGGTTACTCTGTTTTGTACAGAACTGGAGATGTGCCCTCTTGTTTACACACTGCTGGCTGGAAAAGTCAAAGGAAGCATTGCGCAACAGTGGGTGAGTTCAGCCGTGGTGGTGATAGGGAGGCTGTAGTCATCTCCCATGAAGCCCATTGGCAGCTAGGATACCACTCTATTCCAGCCAAGGACAGCACTGAACTCCAGAGGGATTTATACAGGCCTCTCTTGAACTTGACAGAAGCACACGCTCTGCATGAGAAGATTGTTTCACAAAGTTCTGGAGCATACTAGAGACCTCTGAACACCAACTAGAATGGAAGGATAAACAAACCTCCTCCAGAATGTTTTCCTTGTTCTCTCTAGTACTTTTGAATCTCTAACGCTCTAACCACTTAGGAGTTAACCGTGAGCATTAGAAGAGAAAGACAGACAAGCCTTATGGCCTTTCTGCTCTAGCGGATACTTAGATGTAGAGGGGAAGGGAAGCAAAAGAATTATGCACAAAGAGCCTGGCTGCCTTGTGTAGTTATGGTTTGTTGTCCCATCCATTTAAATGTGTGGGGCTGCTAATAGGAACTTTCAGGTCACATTGCTACTCCAAGGCTGATGACTTTCAAGGTACACTAGAAAGTTTCTAATTTTACAGATTTTTCCCCCAAAGCATTTGCGGGTTTTTGGTAAGACCGTGAGAGTCCACTTTCTGCCAGGAGTGGCTTAGAGGAGAAAGGCAAGTTGGAGCTAGATCCTCAGCTGGTATAAATCAATGTTGCATCACTGAAGCTGTGCCCCTGTCCACCAGCTCAATCCCGTGGTTCTTTCGTTTTTCTCGCCACTACATACGGCCATCGAACTGGTGTATTTTTGTAAACTGTACATGCCCTGATGGTTTTCTGATCCACACATTTTATAAATAAAAAAAACAGATGAAACTCTCCTTGTGATTCTTTGCCTCTGACAGTTCCTACTACAGAGAATTACTGGAGTCTTTAAAAGTCAAATACTGACATGTCATTTAACACTACATTTTAAAGATCCTAACAAGCCGTCATTCACACAAGCATTTCCTTCAGCGATCACTGAAAAGGAATGACAATCTTTAGGCCCCATCATCCATTTTATCTCATGAGCCATAGTTGGCATCTACAAGGAAGAAAAGTGGAGACAAAGTTCTTAAATTGTTGGAGCAAAAAACCAGGAGCCAGGCATGTAGGTTTTATTCCTCGCTCTGAATGCAATGTTTATTACCTTAACTTTTCATTGCCTCAGTTTACCAGCGATTGAATGGATATTACATCAGCAGCGTTGAAAGGGATGAACATTACAAACACACAGTGGCTGTATCTAGACTGGCAAGATTTTGCGCAAAAGCAGTTGCTTTTGCGCAAAAATTTGCCAGCTGTCTAGATTGGTCGCTTGAATTTGCGCAAGAGTACTGACTTTGTAATGTACAAAATCAGTGCTTCTTGCACAAATACTTTCACGCTCCCATTCAGGAATAAGCCCTCTTGCGCAAGAATACTTGTGCAAGAGGGCCAGTGTAGACAGGCACCTTAATTTTTTGTGCAAGAAAGCCCGATGGCTAAAATGGCCATCGGAGCTTTCTTGCAAAAATGCATCTATACTGGCCATGGATGCTTTTGCGTAAAAGCACTTTTTGCAGAAAGCATCCTTGCCAATCTAGACGCTCTTTTGCGGAAATACTTTTAACAGAAAAACTTTTCCGTTAAAAGTATTTCCGCAAAATCATGCCAGTCTTAGACGTAGCCAGTATGTATGTATGCCTTCTCTCCTATCTCAAACCCACAGCCAAATAGCCTAGTAGTGAAATTTATTTTCTGTGTGGGCCATTCCATCCATGCTGCCTCTGGTCTCTATAAACAGGACCACTCACAAGAAAGCTAACAGTAACTTACACAGCAATTCATTGTCAAACATGAATCCTTGCCTGATCTCTAAACCACACTTCATTGTCAGGATGATAGGATCTCTATTGTATTTTAGAATCACAACTACACAGTTCCTGTGTCAAGATTGGTCTACAGACATAGAAGTTAAAACAACAGAGAGCCTGACTGTAAATACTTACGTATGGAAGAAATGTTACTCGTGAACAGTCCCTTTGATAAAATGGGTTAGACATGAAAGGCTATCCCAATACCACTCCTCTGAGTCATTCATTACCACCACCCAGGAAAAGATCCTTCATTAACATGCATCTTGTGTCATTACTTACACTTGTGCCAAGAAGACATCTAGTGGGTATATGTCAGAATTGTGACTGCCCATAGTGTGAGGCTGGAGAGAAACAGGCCCCATTTCTTTGGCAACTCTTTCCAGGTTTATAATCAAAAGTTTTTCATAGGAATATCTTGTTTCATGCACAGCTATGTACAACAGCACATCCTTCCTGATTACATCTCTGGACCAGGAGGACAAAGACAGTCGCATTTCTACTTGTTACCCAAGTCACACATTCCTGGATAGCAAAATATAAAGGCTGTGTCTAAACTGGCCAGTTTTTCCAGAAAATCAGCCGCTTTTCCAGAAAAACTTGCCAGCTGTCTACACTGGCTGCTTGAATTGCTACAAAAGCACTGACTTCCTACTGTAAGAAATCAGTGCTTCTTGCGGAAATGCTATTCTGCTCCCGTTCAGGCAAAAGTCCCTTTGCGCAAAGCTTTGTGCAAAAGGGCCAGTGTCGACAGCTCAGATTTGTTTTCCACAAAAAAGCCCCAATCGCGAAAATGGCAATCGGGGCTTTTTTGCGGAAAAGCGCGTCTAGATTGGCACAGATGCTTTTCCGCAAAAAGTGCTTTTGCGGAAAAGCGTCCCTGCCAATCTAGATGCTCTGTTCTGAAAATGTTTTTAATGGAAAACTTTTCCGTTAAAAGCATTTCCGGAAAACCATGCCAGTCTAGACGCAGCCAAAGAGCTTTTACACATTCAAAACCATCTATTCACCCTCTCCCCCAGCTGTGGTTTATTCCATGGGAACACACATGATTAATGTGACTAATATTTGAAGACATCAACTAAAAGTGAGGTAAGAAATAATTTAATTACATTTTAACTCTCGCCGCTTTAATTTTTCATTGGTATTTCTTTATACATTTATCTTACTGTCTTCCTTAAACATTGCGGACATACAAAAATCAAACAAGACAGGGGAATTAACATACTGGTCTAAGGTCCATCTAGCCAGTGGCCAGAAAAAGGTCTAAGAGTTAAGCAGATATGGGATCATTTATCTCCAGATAGAGGTAGCTTTTACTCATCCTGGTTGACCATGACTGATCTAATTCAGACACACTTTACAGAAATGCTGCTTGTACCTTGCAACAATTTTATCTAATCCGATTTTGAGTTTTGAAGTAATGGTTCCATTTCCCTTAGGAGTTTGCTTGACTGTTCAATTGATCTTATGGTTCAGATCTTTAACATTTAATCAAACTTTGCCTTCTGTAGCTTGAAACTATTGCTCCTTTTCTCACCGTTTTCACAGCCTAAAAATATTTCATTCTTTCATTTATATTGTAATCTCTAAGGTGTTTATAGACTGATCACATCTGCCCAATTTCTTTCAGAGCCCACAATATAATTTACCTCCCTTACTCTCACCAATCTTCTTATCTGATTGGTTGTCTCACTGTACATCATCTGACTTTCCTATAGCCTTCCTCAACCCTGGATACCAGAAACAATACTGTTGCTGTTGTTTAATCTACCATCTTGCCATGACACTCCAAAGAGAATTTCCTCTAAAAAACCCGATGGTATATGAATAATAAAACTAACTTTTTAGATTAGAATGGGACTAATATGCGCTCCATGACCCCTTCCCCCACTGCACTGGTGAAATTTAGTTACAGGTACAGGTTGTACCTCCCTTAATCTGGACTCCCTGGTTCAGCAACATCTGGAGTACAGATGTTCCTGGACCACAGAGCCCAGGAAGAGGGAGGTCTGGCACCAGGGCAGAAGTGCCATAAGGGGCACCAGCAACTCAGCTGGGAGTCCAGAGTGTGTATGTGAGGGGAAAGGGAAAAGACAGGCAGCATGGCAGGGAGTTCTGGTCCCAGCGGCAGGGCCAGGGAGCTCTGGTTCCGTCCCCAGCTGAATAGCTCAGGCTGCGTTCTCCCTCCAGCAGCTGGGGAACCCCAGCCCCAGCAACAGCCGGGAAGCTCTGGCCTGGGCCACAGAGCTCTGGCCCCATCCCTCCACCCTGTCCACAGAGCTC